TCTCCTCTCATCTATGTACAGAGCAGTGTTCAGTCAAAACTAGTAGGAGAAACGTTTGCGGATCTCTAGGTCTCTCTGTGCAGCTTCCTGCTCGCTGCTGCTCTGAGGCATGAATTTTATGACACCAGGCTCCTGAAACTCCATTCTCTGGCTCCTCCAACCTGGACGTTTACCTTTTCCCTGCATGTTAGCCTTGAAACCAAATCACAGGGGACAACCACAGAGGTCGCCTCATGTGTCTCTTCTGTCAGCAATCTTTCCTGCCTGCTGTCTTATGGCTGAAAACTATCACTTTATATCTTTTGCCTGGCTTCTAAAAGCAGAATATAAACTAGGTGCTTTTATATTATCAAGATGAAAAACAAATTTGTCATTTTTTAATTAAATGGAAGCTCTTCCAGATTTCATACATTCAGTATGCCTTTAGCACTGATAATATTTTATTAGTAATCATAGCAGGAAGATTTCTTCAAGTAACATTTTTAGTGAAGAATATTCAATTCCACATGTCCCATCCTTTATTTTGCATTTTGGACTCTCATTTATTTTGAGAAAAGGAGAAAAGGATCAGCCCCAACATTCAGAAGTTGGCCTAGCATTTATGGACAACTCATGCTGTTTTTCTACTGTACATAATTTCAGAAATCATCCTCTGAACAGTTCAGACACATTATTCATCCCGAAAACATGATAAAAATGACGATGATTCATAACATCCAAACGCAGACAAAAATCATATTATTGTGTGTTATGTTGTAAATGTTAATACCTCCTCCAAAAAAAGTTGAAATCCTAAATCCTGATATGACAATATCCCATGTAGAAAGGGATTTGAGAGGTGACTAGCATAAAATTACGTTATGAGAGTTGGGTCTTTGTGGTAAATTAGTGCCTTTCTACAAAGCAGGACACACAGGCATTCTCTCTCTAATCTCCATCATATGAGGACACAAAAGCAAAACAGCTATTCTGGAAGTGAGTTATCCTGAAACTCTATGTCTATCCACATATTGATCCACATATGGAGTATCCAGCTTTCAGAAGTGTGAAAAATGAATATTTGTCATTTAAGTCACCTAGTCTGTGTTAACTTGTTACAGCAGATCATATTGATGAAGATATGCCACTCACAAAATGCCAGCACTCTCTTCTCTTGGCCAAATTCAGAGAACACCACATCTTGCCGATTTTATTCACATTGCTGCATTCTTCCTCATTACGGATAAGATTTACAAAGACACACTGCCCCTACCTTTTGATATCCTTCAAAATAGAACAAATCTCTGCTTCCTTAAAGATTTCTAGCCACTCAAATTAAATTCTCCAAGTTTTGTTCCTAACTCCTTCAGCTCCACACTCCTGAGCTCTCCTGAGCTACAGTGAATGGTAAACCTAACTTTTATAACCACAGTTGTGTTTCTGGGGGTCTTTGATCAAATGGTATTGACAGAGTGAATAAACTCAAAACAGCTCTAATGTAAAGTACTCAGGCAATGAATGAGCAAAACAAGTCTTACTTATTTTTTTGTTCCAGACAGAATTCTTACATTGTGTCTATAGGTGTAAAGATACCTATAACTTATTTTTTTAAAAAAGAATTATAATTAGACTTCAGGGAAAATATATCTCTAAAAAAACCTTTGAAATATTAACCATATAATTCTGAATATTACTGTTTAAAATGATTAGTCTTTAAGCATTTATAGATAGTTATGGCTTATAATAAATAAAACTAGAAAGCATTTGATAAACTATACATGTAGATCAAGAAAGGTCAAAATAATTGAGTTAATGGTACTTGGTAATACTGGTTAAATTTAATATTGTAATAATGTGTCTAAAAATATACCATTTAAAATTAGTTGTGTCTTCAAAGAAGCTGTGCAGAAAATAATTACTGGAATGGTAACCACAAAATAATAAGCACAGTAATAAAGATAATAAGTACTAGTGTTTAAGCATACATTCTTAAGAAGTGTTTCATATTTATTATCCTTGGATTTCAGTGCCAGCTTGGTAAATCAATATTATTATTCTCATTTTTAAATGCTAAAAGAAAACTGTGATTTGAAATTTGAAAGTGGGAGTCTCAAGATCAAAGAGCTAATAAATGTCAAAGTTTTTCACTCAGATGAAACTGGAGTATGATATCTCAGGTCTTATGTTGAGTACTGTTGCTTTGCTTTTTTCTATAATTATAGCAGATGACAGATCGAGAGGTTTATATTTAATATACAAAGCAATATTGGACAGTCTTACACAAGTGTGGAAGCCTACTGACATTTAAAGAGTGACTATTGATGAAGTACACCATTCAGAAATAAAAAATATCAAAAGCAAAAAGAAAGTAAAAAATGTGATATTTTAGATTGAAGAGAAATGTAAGCTAAAAAATAATGACTAAAGTGCTAAAACGCTTCTCCTTTACTACACACAGAGAACAGGAGTATGAGATATAATTCTCACAAAGAAATATTTGATGTCTATTTAGGAGACAAGGGGAAAGAAAAATTCATTAGGAAAAAACTATATGATCAATTAACATATATCTATTGTATCAGTGGAATAAAGGTTAAATTTTTAGGTGAAGAATAACTGAAAGCAGGACGATTGATTAATACAAGAATTACTCGACTGTGCTTTCTCAGGGCACAGCAATCACTCATGACCTTGAAAGTGAAATGATCAAACAGGCCTCCGTGTCATTTGGAGAGCGACAACATTGCTCTGGAGACATTATCAGATTTAACCAGTGGTGTTCACCTAGCAGGATGCATATGCCTACATAAAAGTTATACCTAAGCAAAAGGCCTTTATATTTAGTAGAATTCATTGTACAGTCATGACTTCATTGTTTTAATATACAGTCAAGTAATATGAAATCATTTTATTTCTCACATTAATATTCATGATTATAATTCTTACAAAACTTATTACTTCTCCTATATCATCTATTGCCCATACACAATATTTGAACAAGTTACCTTTAGAAATAACTAAGACTCGTTAACCTAAAAGTACACTTGTGCTTTAGAATATGACTTGTTTGTGATTAACCAAAATTTTCCTTTTCATGTAGCCAATATATGGGGGAAAAAATCTATGAAACATAGAAACAACATTTATCCTTCAAGCAGGATTTTTCAATCAACAAAAATATCAAACGAAGAATTAGATTTACAAATCTGTCTTCAATATCCTTTCCTCACTTCCCATCCTCAGTTCTTATGTTGAATGACTATCTTCTGAAGATTATAGGAAAATCACAAAGTATATTTTTATCTGGATTGTGAACAATTTGTCAGAAGCAGAACTGGCCTTACTATATCTACTAGTTTCAATGCCTGTGCAAAATTCTATCATGTATCCTTGACTTCCTCCAAAAGAAATTTAATCAAAAGTATATTAAATAACAATCATTAAAATAAATGTAATATGAATAGATCTTAAGTAACAAATATCACAGGTACCTCAAGCTTCACTGTAGCTTTGTAGAGCTATACTAAAATAAAATTGGATTTCAGGGCTAAGATTAAAACTATGAAACTTCCAAGGATTATAAATTACAGTTTTGGACATCAAAAATCTTTGAATAGATATTCACAAGAGCATGGAATCATACTTAAAAACAAAACGCAGAAGAGCACTGAACATTAGCATTATTCGAGATCGGTAAAGCAAATCATTATTTTCAGAATAAAAAACATGTGCTCACAAGAATCATGTGCATTTTAAATGGGCATCAGAATTCACATGTTTTTTAAATCTTCTGTAAATGTATTTGATGAAAACAAAATACAGTCTTGATCACCACATTGATGATAGGGGCTTTGTTTGATCATTTGCATTTGTTCATGTGACCATTCTGCAATATAATTAGAAATTATCTAAAATGTTATACATTTTATATGGAAATGAGACACATTTTGTTATAGGGGCAGCTTATTAGTCATGAAAATAAAATTAATTAAAGGAAGAAGTAGAAGCAATGGCAACTTTAAATGTATTTGATAGATTATATTTTAATACAATAGCCTAATAATGTGATATCATAAGAAAAAGAAACCCAAGTTTCTCTAAGCATGTTGATTACAGAAATAACTGCAAATAGATTTTTGAAATTAAGAAACCACAGTGAAGATGGAGACAAAGTTGGAATTCCAACACTTCTTCTATGTAGGGATCCTGCTTACAATTAAAAATCAAAGCATATTTTATGTATCTGGACCTAAAAAGTATCCCACAGCTTTTCATCAGTGGGGAAAAAATTTCTTCAAGTATCTAATTAGAATTTATGTTTCAGACATGCATAACTGTGAGAAATCTCTGAATAAAACATCAAATTGCAGTTCGGTAGTAGTGTATCTGTAAAACTTTTTGATGCTGAGGAACACATGTCACACTGAAATTCAGATGGGTGAATCTGAAGTGTCAAATGCTGGCTTCTATACTAGACAGAAGCCAGGACTGAGATGCAATCACCTCACAGACTTAATTTAAGGCAAGTCATTTAATGAACACTGGATTTGATTCTATCACCTATAAAATAAGAAATTACTTCTCATATTCAGGATATTCCTTATATAACTTAAAAATCTGAATTTCATAAATTACTGACTCCCAAGTATAAAGTTCTATCTATAAAATGCCTATTTTATGTAAGCAATAAACTAGTCTATTTGCACCAAACCCTCAGTCAAATCACAGCAGAAATATTAGCATTTCAGAAATCTGGAAAGGACTTAGGAAGGGTAACTTCCCCTAAATCACACAAGTACGTGCAGAAGTCGGGTTCATGGCTGAGCTCTGTCTCCTTGCCCTCAGGCCAACTCAGGAACGCATTCTGATTTTTACCCAACTGATAACCAAACACTCATCATTCAAGCCACATGACAAAACTTAAAATAACTGCCCATCTGTCACATAATGACATTTTTAGAAAGTTTTCTATTTGAACCATAACCACTGAGTGATTTAATCAGGAAGTTTCTGTTACTTACAGCTATTCCAAGGATGTAAACCCCTTAAATGTTTGCTTATTTTAGTGCATGAATTTCATTCTTGTACAGGTACCTGAAAAACATATACATAAATCCTCTTAAGTTAAAAATTAATTTAGATATTACATGTTTAGATTATGAGGTTTTAAAATGCAATCTGTAGATTTCAGAAGCATGGGGATATTTGGTTTACAGATACCCTGAAGATATGGAAACTGATTTCATTTAACTGACAAGAACAGATACTATACTTGATCTTAACCAAAAGGCCGAGAAGCAAATTTCATTTAAACTTGTTCAGTTGTCTAGTATGAGAATTTTGAGACTCTTACCAAATACTCAGGCGGTTCACTGATCAAAAATATTAAGAAACTTAAGGGATCATGGGTAAATTTTGATTAATGAAAGCATGTTATTGAATAGTAACTTCTTTAAGAAAAAAGTTTAAAATCCATTTTGTGAAAGTAGATACCTTTATCTGGGAATTACTTTTACAAAGCTGATAAATATCACCATCTGATTCATCTTAAAGGGATAAAAACATCTTAATAGATCTATCCATTATGCTTTGCTTCTCCCATGGCTTTCACTGAAAATCCACAGGAAACAGGAGTGTTACTATTATAAATGTGGTGATTCACCTAACCTTATCCAACAGAAGGAGGCAGCTTACCATGGTAGAGAATCGCATGGAGGATTGGTATTAAAGGAAAGAAGCAAAGTTAAAACAACTTAATGTATGATTTTAAGTACCAAATTACTACATATTAAAACAATTACTGTAAGAAAAATTACTTGCAAATATTGGAAAGGAAGACAAGTCACTGTGCTGCTAGAGTTGAACTGAAAACAGAAATGCAAGATCATAATCTTAAAAAACATTTTTGTCTTATTTTAATTATAATCGTTTTAAAAAGATCAAACTACCTAGAAATAAACTATGTAGAAATAAATCCAAGAAAGTGAAAGACTCATACACTGAAAACTATGAAATATTGTTACAAGAAATTAAAGAAACAGATGAGCAGAAAGATATCTCAGGCTCATGACCTGGAAGACTTCATGTTGTTAAAATATAATACTACCCAAACTGAGAAAGATGTTTATCGAACATCCATCAAAACTCTAGTGGTATATTTTTCAAAAACAAAAAATCTCAACATAAAATTCGTATGGCAGCTCCAGGAACACTGAGCAGTGAAAACAATCTTATGAAAAATAAGTTTGAGGTGTTATATTTCCCTGACTTCAAAATGTAGTACAAATATATACAAACAAAATAATGTGTTTCTAGCAAATACATGAAGATCTAGCTCAATGGAACAAAACAGCTCAGAAATGAACGCTGTAGTATATGGTCAAATGATTTTGACAACAAAATCAAGAAAATAAAATTGAAGGAGAAACAGTCTCCTCAACAGTGTTGGAGAATTGGTTATCCCTCACAAAAAAGCGTTAAATTTGAAACACTTTTTTGTATCATGTATTAAAATCAAGTCAAAATTATCAAAATTCTTAGTGTAAAACCAAAATCTATTTTAAAAATCTTAGAAGACAATAAAAAATATTTCTTTACATCCTTTAAAAAATTCTGGGGTTGAAGATTTAGCTCAGTTGGATAAGCGCCTGTCTCACAAATGCGAGGTCATGCAGTCGATCCCCTGTAACCACCCCCCAAAAATCTGTTTTCTTTTCAAAACAAGACAAAGTGAAAAACACACTGAACCGTAGCAAAAACCCAAAACACATGTGTCAAAAACACGTTATTAACAGCATGAAAAGGTAACCAGGAAATCTGAAGAAATAGTTGTGTATCACGTCTGGACATAGAAAATATTTAAAATTGCAAAAAATATATAGACATATAAAAATAAAAGAACACACTAAACATCGAAAGTTACGACAGTTATATAGTTTTGAAGGATTTTGTTTACTTTGCCATGCTTTTTTGCAGTTTCAAAATTTTCTGAATTATGCATTAACATGTTGCTTAAACAGTGAGTAAAATTGTACTAATTTAAAAAATATGCAAGTTTTAAAAGTAAATTCTTCCATATTCTTTACCTTAGATACTAGCATTACTTTGATATTTTTTGTTTTATATTTTGAGGTATCTTTTTATTATATGATATATAGCACATAAATTATTTTATTTGACATCTTATCAGACAAACTAGAAGATATTAACCTATGTTTTCCCTCCATATTTCAACAAATTTCTTCAGATAACTAAAGATCTTTCCCTAAGCCCAGAAAATTAAATATGTGACCTTTATAACACCAATAAAAGTTTGTAACAATGGAAGACCAGAAAGTAAATATCAAATTTTTTATTTCTGTCTTAAAAATGCTACAACCTGAATTTAGCACTGAAATTTTGCAAAAATGGTTAATGAACAGTGCATTAATATTTTTACTATAATATCTTAGGGTAGATAAAAAATCACTGAGCTGTTAGATCAAAAGCTGTTATAGAAAAGACTATTAAAATAAAAAACCCAAATCCTACCCCATCACCTAGAAAACTAGATACAAAAAAGAGTACAGAACCCAGAATAACTGGTGGATAAGGAATACAGATCTGTGCCCATTTCAGAATGGTGGCTTTGGAAAATTACAATTACTACAGATAAATTTTCTGTGTACAGTAAATATTAAAAGTACAGAAATGCTCCAAGATGTGCCAAGGCCTGAAGCTCTCTAATAGGATAAAAAGAGATAAATACTTCTTTAGGTGTCTGGTAGAAGGTGGACCTAACACCATAAGCCATGAGCTTGGTCATGAATTCAGTTGTAAAAAGGAAGTATCTCAGTAGAAAGTTACTTGGCTCTTGCAGTCCTGCACCCAGAAAATAACAGAACAGTCCCCAAAAAGGTCATTGCTTCAAAACGACCATGATCAAGGACAACACAGAACTGTGTCCCACCTCACAGATTGTGAATAATCAGACTAGAGAGCAGGTTTAGTATCCCAGTACAGGAACTCAGATGGTGGAGGGAAGGCACATGGGGTCCGGGCAGCTATCATAGATCAAGATGCCATAATAACATAGCAAAGTGTGGTTTAAACAATGGAAATACACTTTCTCACTGTTCCACAGAGTCTACAGGGTCCAGCCGAGGTCCCCCTTCATTATTTACGGACAGCCACCTTCACACTATGTGCTCACGGGAGCAGTAAACATCTCTTCTAAGTATACTTTCATTCTACAAACTTGGTTAAGCTGTAATTTTACTTTTGTTCATTTCAAATTTTTTTAAACTTCTTTTGATATTTCTTTAATTCATGTGTTACTTATAAGTACTTGTTTGATCTGCAAATACTCTGGAATTTTGAGCTATTTTTCAGTTATTAGTTTCCATTTTAATTTCTCTGCGGTTTAAGAATCAACTTTCCATGACTTCTGCTCACACAAATATGTTGAGATGTATTTTTGGCATATAATGTGGCCTAACTTGGTGAATTTCCATATAAACTTCATAAGAATATGTATGCTGCTGTCGTAGGACTGAGTATTCTTTAAATGTCAACAGGTTCCAGTCAAATGATGTTTCCATTCAGTTTTTGTATATCCTCACTAAATTTCTGCCTGATAAATCTGTCAATTACTGATGAAGCTGAACTAATGTCTTCAACTGGTAGACTAGATTCATTTATTTCTTCTTGCAATCCTACCAGTTTTTACCACCCATATTTTGATATTCTACATCAGGCACACATAGAGAATTATTCTGTCTTCTTGGAGAATAGGCCATGTCATCATACGCCAAGCTTTTGTGATAATAGCATAATATCCGACACCAGGCAATTTATGTAGAGAACAAAAGAGATTTATTTCTTAGAGTCCTGGAGTTAGGGAAGTCTGGAATTAAGGGGCCCACATCACACTGCATTACCTCATGCAGAAGATGAAAGGCCAACAGACTGAACACAAGTTTTTGACAGAGTTGGGGAAAAGGAACCAAATTCATCTCTTTGTTTTACAAGAATATCACTCTTAGAATAATTAGTCCATTGCCATAATAACATTAATCCATGCACAAAGGCAAAGCATTTTAATAGTCCTACCTCTCAGCACTGTGGATTGGGAATTAAATGTCCAATACATCAACTTTGGGGAACACCTTCAACCTATAACAGAACATTTTATCATTTTGCAATGCTGTTTTTTATTCTTGATAACTTGTTTTTGTTATTAAATCAGTTTTATCTGAAATTAATAATAACTACTCCTGTCTTCTTCTGAGTTATCTTAGCAGAATGCATCTTTGCCAATTCTTTTATTTTGAGTACACTGTTGTTTCACATTTTAAGTGTGTTTCTTTTGGAGAACCACTACAGACAAGATTTCAAATGCCTCCCAGAGGCATCAGGGTGATGCTCTGGGAGGCTCTGAAAAATTTTAGAGGCGGGGCCTAAAGGAAGGAGGTTAGGTCATTGGGTGCTTGGCAACAAAGGGGATTAGGGACTTCAGCCCCTTCCTCTGCCTTCTTTTGCTCCCTGAATGATGATGGAGTAATCTTGCTCTGTCGCATGCTCCATGACATACTGCTTGCCATGGATCTAAGCCACTGGGGCCAATCAGTCATGGACTGGAAGCTCCAAACCTGTGGATCAAAATGATCCTTTCATCATTATAAATTAATTTTTTCAGGTGTTCTGTTACAATGATGGGAAGTTGACTGTACAACAGCATAAAATTGGGTCTTTTTTTACTCCTTTCAGTTTCTATGCTTAAATTAGTACATTTAAATTTAAAAGACTATTGATTTGGTTGGATTAATATCAACTATATTTGAAATTATTTTCTATTCAGGATACTTTTCATCCTCATCTTCTTGTCTACCATATGATTTTAGTGAAGCATTTCCTGTGAATCAATTTTAACCTCTCTTGAAATATATAAATTACGCTTCTGTAAAAAATATTTTCAGTGTTTTACTTGGGTCATCTAACATATTTGTATGAGTAATGTAAGTCTAACTTTCACCTTGGGTAGTGCTGTTATCTTATGGTAAGGTATTACCAATCCCAAAATTTATAACTAGCTTTGATTTTTAGACTTCCAATTT